TGCCCGCAAGCGGCTTAACGAATTTTTAGTGCATTTTTTAAGAATTAAGAAGAATGTGCTATTGTCTGCATCCTTCCGTTCGGACCCACTTCAGCCGTGTACTTTTAGGGGAATGGTCATAGAGTCCTAGATTTTGCAATAGCTAGCTTTTATCTTGAAGGTGTGCCAGATGCCCATCAAATCTCGTTGTCCCCATGAATTATTTCCAGAGATACTGTTGCTTTTATCCTTGTCTTTCATGATATTCTAATTAAAGGTGTCAAGAAAAGGAACTGATTTCTACCAACTACCGCCCTTTTTTCTTGCTCCTTATCAAAATAGTGTTGGGGGGAGGGGGGAACTGGTTTTATGAAAGGAATTAATTTTTACCAACCATAGTGCCTCCCCGACCCATTATCGTAATCGGATATAGTTCCTTATATCTCAAGAGCCAATTGTCGGAGGAGGGTAGGTATACTTGCAAAGGGCGATTGGGAAGTATGGTAGAAATATTTATTTATTTTTTTTTATTTATTTATTTCCCCTCTTGTTCTGGGCCCATTGGGCATCACCAGTGGGTTGTAGTGTGAATATCTCGAGAATGGAATGTCGGAGGAGAGTATTCACAAAGGGCAAGAAAGGTGTAGGACGCCAGAGGCTTACCAAATCGTTAGGGACGTAGACAAGGGTAGTTATGTAGAAATGAAAAGATTAGCGCAGGATAGGAAAGGGTGGAGGACTGCGTCCTAGCAATCCTAGGATTGTGAACTTCGAGAAAAAGACGCAGCGATAAAAAAAAATCTTATCTCAACGGCCGGATTCAAATGAGATAACTTTAACAAAACATTATTTCCAAATGACTTTCTAAATAAACAATAAAATAAAATCAAAATACTACGCGATTAATTATACAAAATTGAACAACGAATAATTCTTCAACGAAATCACATTGATTCAAATTCAAATACCACATGATCGAAATTGGGTTCAATCACAAGTTAACGACCACATTTACGCTCAAAAATAATTGAAATTAAACATATAGGGTGACCCTTTCGATGAACGACAGACTACATGTTTCTAGATTAGGCAACATTAACTTCCAACGCTAGCCCTGACTACGTTCATGTCAGTCCCTTTTGATATAGTTGTTAATTAATTAATTCCACGTATAATATCAGAATTGCGACGGATTACCGCTAAACGCATTGAAGCGGAGGACTTTCAATTTGAATATCTTATATGATTGTAGGTCAGAAGGTTACCTATTTTACAGAACCAAAGAGGTTTTGTATTTTTAGTGTTTAATAATTGTTTTTTTTTTCACTACTAGCGTTTGATGACATGATTATTAACCTTTTTTCCACTTGTAAAGTAGGCTTTCTCGGCAGTTGTTCAAAGTGGTTCATCTTCTCAATCTTCTCGGCTACTCGCGGAGCAAATTGCATGGACAATATTTTTTCAAATTTTAGTGTTTTTGATTTCAGTAGTACTACAATAAACACCGGCCTTGCTGACCATCTAGGGCAGCTGCTTGTACTGAATCATTTTGAAAAAGATCTTAGGAACTATTACGCAACTAAACTGCATCGACCAATCACCCAAGTTGGTATGTACATGTTGTTCGATAAACTTTATAATTGTGATTGGAAAGACATTATTAGTGATACAGGTGATTGTAACCAATGTTTTTCTGATTTCATTAAGTTTGTTCATGAATGTTATTTGACTTGCTTTCCGCTAGTAAGAGACAGACGAAACAAATATTCGGGTAGATATAGATTCAACTGGTTTAATGACAATCTTAGAAGATTAAGAGACAATGTTCAGTTAATTAGTGGTCTCTATGCGAAATATCGCACGCAGAGTTTACTTGAAATTAAGAAGTCTTGGACTGCAACTTATCGAAATCAAATAAAATTGGGCTAAAATAGCAGCTAACGATCAGCACATTGCTGTATCTGGAAATTCCACAAAAGCAATGTGGTCCATTATAAATTCTGAAAGAATTTCTAATACGAACCCACAATGCAATTTAACTGCCGATGATTTTAATTATTTCTTTTCGAGCGTTACAGACCAAATTTTATCTAGTCTTCCTAGTAGCAAAAAAGACCCCACAGATCATTGTAAGATTACTAATGTTCCATTAGGTATAAAATTTGAGTTTAATTGTGTTTCGCAAACGGAAGTACGTGATACCATCTCCAGCCTGCGAAACAGCAACACGAAACATTTTTTTGGTTTCAATACTCAAGTGATTAAGCGTAACATTGATGTGCTTATAAGACCACTAACCAGATTAGTGAATCTTGCTATATCGACCGGAATTTTTCCGGACTGTTTTAATAGCAGTAGTCTTGCCCCTGTTTAAAAAAGGTGACGACACCAACAATTTGAACAACTACCGACCAATTTCGATTCTTCCTGTGTTCAGCAAAGTATTGGAGAGAGTCCTATACAAGCAAATGAACCACTTTTTCGAAAATAGTGGTCTATTTTACCGCAAACAGTTTGGATTTAGGAAAGGACGTGGAACTTCTGATGCAATTATTACCTTCGTTAATAATGCCTACGAATGTTTTGAAAGAGGTCAGCATTTGGTAGCGGCATTTATCGATTTATCTAAGGCATTCGATTGTGTCGACCACAATCTATTAGTTCGTAAATTAAAATACGTGTACCACTTTAATGATTCAAGCTTAGCATTAATTAAATCATATTTAATCAATAGGTTCCAGTATGTGCGCATGAATCAGACTATTTCTCCGACATTACCTGTAACACGGGGAGTTCCACAGGGGTCTATACTCGGCCCCCTGTTATTTTTAATATATATAAACGATATGCCCATGGTGTTGCCTGAACACATGGATTGCATTCTTTATGCTGATGACGCAACCTTGCTATCATGTAACGATGACTTCAGTATTGCTCTGTCATGTACCTACTCAAAGTGCCATCGAAATCGTTACAAATTGGTGTATAGACAATAAGCTACTACTGAATGAATCTAAAACAGTTATAATGCCCCTATCATTAAGAACGACCGACCACCGACCCCTATCTTGCAACAAGGGAAAGGTCCCTCTTGGGTTGTGTAATAGATCCACAGCTTAATTTTCATGTACTAATATTATTAAAAAAATGAATAAATCACTTTTTTTATTAAGGAAATTGCAAAACAATGTATCCTTAAAGGTAATGAAAACTGCTTATTACGCACTTATACAAAGTACGTTATCATATGCAATTTTGGCATGGGGACACAGTTCCCACTGGTCCAGTGTATTCCGTTTGCAACGGAAAGCCATACGAGTACTCTCTGGTTTAAACTATAGAGACGACTGCCGTGTCTCATTTATCACTTTAAAAATTATGACATTTCATTGTTTATATATTTTGCAAGCAGTATGTCTAGTCAAAAGTAATATGGTGTCAACTGTCCTTCAATCAGATGTACACTCGTATAACACCAGGCAAAAGGACAACATAAGGCTACCTTTTTCTAGACTAACAAAAACTCGAAATGGTTTGACTTATCAGTCGCAGGTATTGTATAATTGTGTTCCCGCACATATAAAAATACTTCCTTTAAAATTATTTAAAACTTCTATCAAAAACGTACTTATAGAAAATGCGTTCAATTCAATTGACGAGTTTATAAGTCACTGTCGCAGAATTGAGTAAGGAATATGCATGTCTCTTTGTTGTACTTGTATGTACTTTTTATATGCCTTTGTGTCTGTTAATTACATATGTATGAGAGTTGACTAGAGTAAGTGTACCCACACAATAACTCAATAAATATATTATTATTAATGTGGACATTATTAACTAGTAGTCAATAATGAGAACTGTCACGCGGTCACTTTTAGAAAACACAACCCGAAATTTCGCTCAATAAACGTTTGGACAAGTTCTCTAAAATGAATAAGTGCCACCATCCGCCATTTCCAGAGAAATTACATACCTAAAATTATCACATTTTGAAAAAATTCGAAGGAAATTACTCTTTGAAAATATCTCAATGACAGAACAAAATACGGTCTTCTTGACTGTTACTTTCACGTACTTTATTGACATGTTAAATTAATAAACAAAAAATTCTGTCAAACCGTTCCCTTTCTTATCAATATGATATGTTAATTTAGAGGACTTCAAGTACTAGTAGTGAAAAAAATAGTATATATACCACGGTAGAGAAGTCTATTATTGCCTTCGCACTTTACACCCCTCGGCGCAAGCGCCTCGAGATGTAATCTTGGTGGTGCTCAGGCAATAACACTGGACTTCTCTACCTTGGTATATAATGTACTATTGTTATTGATTTATGGGTGTGCTTTTTACATTTAAAAACATCTTTTTGCTACAACATAATTAGATCCAGCAGTGAAAAACTGAAACTCTAATATATTTCAGGACAGTTTATCAGGATTCGTGAGTGCTTTTGTTTAATAATAATACAGGTCCGTACTTTAAAAAAATCAAGTTAATGATGATCCCAAAAAATCGAAACGTTGCACTTTAAAACTACCAGATTGTAGGGTAGAAAAGGTTGCTATGTGAGAAAGTATCATTTATTTGGGTCCGTGAATTTGGAGTGTCGACTTGAAAGGAATTAAGTTCCAAGTATCTCATAATTTTGTACTCATTTTGTGCTAATTTGTGCTGCCAATTTAAAATTTTGTGCTCATCAGGTTAATGAGTAATTCAACTTTTTCTGATGACACTACAACTTCACGCTTGAGTGTCAACATCGATATTTTCAAAATTTTCGTTTACTATAATTTTGTGCTCATTTTGTGCTAATTTGTGCTGCTAATTTAAAATTTTGTGCTCATCAGGTTAACGAGTAATTCAAATTTTTCTGAAGATACTCACTGTAGTGTCAGTTAGTTGGATATTGCCATCGCCGT